AAAAAATTATAAATACAAATAAAAAATTGTAAATACAAATATTATTAAGCAAACTTTACGGGAAAAATATAATTTCAGTGGCATTTAGAGGAAATGATTACATATTAGTGGAAAACTTTATAACATTAAAAAATAAATCTATAAACTATTCCATCAAATTAAGATTATTTCATAAATTTTTTACTAAAATGATATTTTCGCAACTTTAAAAGTGCCCATTAAATTTTTTTATTTTTATTTTTGAACATTATGGGCCGACATGCGTGATAAATAAATAATAATTTCTAATGCGTTGGGATGAGGAAGATTCGAGAAGACTGTGAAGGTTTCGTGTATAATGCGACAAGCGATGGCCTACTTGCCTTATTTTTATGAAAAATAAATAAATTAAAACTTGTGGGTTTCAACTGTGCTGTTGGGTAGTTTATGAGTTGCTTATATGTATATCAGAAATGTTTTTTTTTCCGAAATTTCTCCTCCATCCCCCCGACTAGTCCGAAATGAAAGAGAGAGAAGAAAGGGGAAGAGTAGGAGCTCTGTCCGCCGTCGCCTCCGCCCCATCGTCGCCTGCCGTCGCCTCGTCGCAGCTCGTCGCAGTCTCGCCGTCGCCTCCGCCTCTGCCTCGCAGCCCCCGCATGTGCCTTCGCCTCCGCCCCTTACCTCTGCCTACGCCCCTACCCCCCGCCTCCACTTCCAGCCCGATTTTGTTGGCCCCCTCCAGTCCCGATTTTGTTGGCCCCCTCCAATCCTTCTTTTTCTTCCTTCTCTTCTTCTGATTTTCTTCTTCTGAAAAAATAAATAAATAAATAAAATGACGAAACGACGTCGTTTTGATTTTCGGGGGGATTCGGGGAAGGCAGATTCGAGCTACCAATCACTTCTGTATATATATATATATATATTTAGAAATTTATGATAATATTTTGTATAATTTATGTTTATAGTTTACAAGGTAAAAATAATTTAAATAAATTTAATCATTGAGAAGCAATTGAATGAAAGTTCTTAATTTATACTTCTAATTATTAACTTTTAACTTGTAAGAAGACATATCAAATAAATTTTTAATGAAAAGTTGCACCAAGTATGCCTTTAAACTGTTAATAACCATACTTTAATGATTTAAATAATTTATTTTACAAGATTTTTTAAGTAGATTATTTATACAAACTAATTAAATTAATCAAATGATTGTAATTACATAATCAAATTATACTTGTGTGGAGAAAAAACTTACCAAATTAGCAACGGTGGATGATTGGTATGAACTTGAAGGTGGATTGCTTGAAATTACTAAAAAAAAGAATTTCGACTGATGGTTAGTTATGAGACTCGTTCAACTTAAATCAATATGAGAATAAGCATCAAACTTGAATGTAAGAGTGTAGATCGTTCTGTAGCTTTGTTAGGTTGGGATGCTGTGCTTATAAGGGTTGCATTTGATTGTTAGTGGCAATTGAAAATTCCTCGTCATTCCTTTTATTTGTTTCGTATTATGTGTAATTATGTCTCACATTTACGGATTTTTAAAAGTAACTAGATTCATATTTTGTTGGACCGTGTGTTGATCTAGTCTAACTGTTCAGATTATCAATTTGAGTCTAAAATTTAGTTTGAATTTTCGTGTTGATTCTCAATCCTACTGTTTTTAAAATATTCTAGCTCAGTCACATGAATATCCTAATCATGTTCAGATTTATTGAAATTGTAGTTCAAATTTTACCTCCCAGGATACTTGCTTTCAAGACAACAAACAATCTCCTTTCAAATCAAATTTGTCGATTGTGCCATAGGCAAACAGTGACAGTTGCTATCAATAGTAAGGAAATTTTATAATACACAATCTATTTTAGAATATGTGTTTGTAATATTTGATTATAATTTATGATGATATTAATCATAATTTATTAGGGTATTAAAGCTGATATATTATGAGATTGGTTATAATTTATTGTGATTATTATTTTAGTTATGATAAAATAAAGTATTTGGTTATATCTTATGTAATATTTGATTATGACTCATTATTATTTTTAGTTATGACGAAAAAGATTTTAGTTATGGCATTGATTATCACAAATGTTATAACTTATGTATGGTACATACTTCAAAAAAATGTATTTCCTTCGTTTCAAAATATTAGTCACTTATTCTATTTTTCATTGTTTCAAAATATTAATCCCTTCTTAAAAAATAAGGACTAAAATAATTTGAATTTTCTATTTTGTCATTCTTTTAAATTCATTAACAACACAAAATATACAATTATGACAATTGATATTTTCAAAAAAATATATTATCAAAGGGTAATTTTGAAAAATTAATATTTTTAAAGTATAATAATTGTACTATAAAAAAAGTTAAATTTCTCAAAAGAGACTATTATTTTAAAATGAAAAGAGTATATACTTGATTCTAAATTATATATAGAGGCACTTACACACAAGTTCTAATTTATGAACTTATACTCCATTAAGTCCTAACTAAGATTTTTTGGACCTTCAAGTCCCATTAAATTTTTAATAGTCGGAATTACTCTTCAAATAATGATTGTTCATTATTTATGATTATCTATAAAGCAACATGATAATTTGACATTTATTTTAATTTTCAAAACTTTAAAACATCAACTTTCAAATTGAAAAAAAATTAAAAAAATTATGTGTAAATTTTTATTTTATTTATTTTTGGAAAAAATTGAAAAAATTGAATTATTTTTTTGTGCAAAACTGAAAATTTTATATTTCATGATGATGAAACATTGATGTGCAAAACTTAAAAAAAATAAAAATAAAAAAAATTGATAATGTTCTCAGTTTTAAAATTAGAAAAAATTGATAATATTATCGTTTTTATTGGATAGTTGAATTAAACCAATAAATAGAAGGGCAAAAACGTTTAATCTCATGCTCTGTTTTTTTCATCAATTAGTGAAACAATTATCTGGAACACTACTATGCAAAATTGATAACGTTCTCAGTTTTAAAAACTAAGAAAACTTGATAATATTTTCGATTTTACTAAATAGAACTTATTGGTTCAAAAAATTTTAAGTAGGACTTAAGCTACCATAATATTTATAAATAGGACTTTTAAATAATTAATTCTAATATTATATTCATTAAGAATTGTTTTAAAAAGTAACTATTTTAATTTTTTATAAAAATAGTCTAAAAAAATTCATTTTTTAATAGTAAATTTTTAAAAAAATTTAACTAATAGTCTATTATGAAAATAGACCCTTCTGTATTTATAAAAGTAATATGGTGATGTAGTAGTTTTGTCCTTTCAAAAGTTACCACCGACGCATATTAGGAAAAGGACAAAAAAGTTTGTTGGACGGTTGGATGTTTTACCGTAACTGTTTAAGGGGCAATAATAGGACAGGTTATTTGATGGTTAAGAACAGATTTGAAAATATATATATATATATATATAAATTATATGAAATGTAATTATATTTTATTTATATTTTATCTATATATTTTTTTTTAAATTTCTAACCAAACATAATATTAGTTAACACTTATTAAGGTTTTGTTTGGAAAGTTAATTATTTTAATAAGTTATTTAATTTTTTTTGATTATTTTAATCTAGCTAAAAAAATTGTGTTTAAGAGGTTGATTGAATTTTTTATGTAGTTGATTTGATAGTTATGAGAGAAAAAATAAAATAATTATGAATTGAATATGACATTTTGTTTTATTAGCTATTTTAACATATTTTAAGTTATTTTATTCCAACCCTCTTCCCAAACAAGACCTAAGTTGATTTGTGCCTTATAAATATTAAATTTGATAATTTCAATCAATAATATTAAATTGGGACACTATGTGGACACCTCCTAATATCACCACATAATTTTTCTAATAATAGGCACCATAAATATAAAAAGGGCAAATTATAAATACATTCTAGAAATTTATTTAAAATACAGATCACCCTTGTAATGTTAAAAATTATAAACATTCGATTGTCAAAAATTGTCATTAACAATGTTTAAAAAAAAAAACGACCTTAACAAAGTTATTAGAATTGTTAATTGAAAAAAATAAAATATCATTAAAAATTATTAATTGATTTAATGGTTGATTGATGAAATTAACCATTTGTTATATAATTAGAAATTTGAAAAGAAGAGATGTAAACTTTAGAATGACAAGGGACCTAATTTTAAATAAATTTTAAGAAATGTATTCGTAATGTTTGTTTAAGAATTGATTTTTTTAATAAATTTTTAATTTTTATACAAAAGTAAATGCAAGAAAATAGAAAGTATGAATTTTTTTTAACTTATTTTAAAATTTTAACCAATTGCCAAACATGATCGATATAAAATCAGTCAAAGGGCATTTTAGACATTAAGGCCACGTTTGTTTAGCTTCATAGAATAGAGAGAATTAAAAATACAGTGAGATTAAGTGATGAGATTAGTATTGTAGTGGTATTAGGTTAAAGATGTAAGATAAATAATGTTTGTTTGTACACTATCAAATTAGTAATACTATAAATAGTATTAATATATAAAATTAATATTTTTTAAGTTTTAGTATTTTTTAATATTATAATTATTTTTTTATTCTAAAAAATATTATTTTTACTTAAAAATTATTTAAAATTTCACTAATCCCTCTCACTCAATTTCTAATCTTAACCCTCCCATAATTTTGTTAATCTTACCACATAAGGAGATTATTGGTCCAAGAAGATAGTTGTCAGTCATGTTACTCAACCAAACACTCTTTAAATAAATCTGATAGTTATTAGTCCAATCCCCATTTCTAAACAGCCAAACAAACCTTGCCTAAGCATCCCACACTGAGAAAAGGACAAAATGGTGACAGAATAGTAAATTCAGAAACCTCCAATGGCAATATCGAAAACCATAGAAGGAAGGCGATAAGAGATCAGATTGGCAGGACAGTACAATAGAATATACAAGTATATATATATTATATATATACAAGTATATATATATATACAAGACATGTATGTATATATTGTATCTCTAATTATATATGTATCGACAATATTATTATATTTCAGGCGATGAGATGGAGATGAATATGAGATGATAGAGGTTGCTTCTGGTAATGAAGCTACTGCTACTATTATAGCTATGGCGGTGAGTTTCCTAGGCTTCTGAGTCAACTCTTGACTCCAATAAACGAATCGAACGAGTTCGTCGGAGTTTGTTCTAGTTCTTCGCTGATCGAAGGGGTTAGAGAGAGAGAGAGAGAGTGTTGAAGGAGAAAGCTATGAATAACGCTAATGGATTTAGCTGTATGGAGACGGAGTACATTCGGAAGCACCACAAGCACCAGACTGTCGACAATCAATGCAGTTCGGCTCTCGTCAAGCACATCAAGGCCCCTGTTCATCTCGTATACTCTCTCTCTCTCTCTCTCTCTCTCGCTCTCTCTACTTTCTCTCTCTTGTTCATTTACATATGTATGTGTGTGTGTGGGGGGGGATATGTCTTTCCGTATTTGGATCGATTGATAAGTGAATTTGTTGAGATTCGATTGTGATTGATGAAATTTCTGTAAATTATTACTTAGATTTGAGATTTTTTTTTATGATTTTAGTGATTCTGTTATGTAATTTTTGAAAGTTAAAACACATTTTTGCAGTTTGATCTGTAGTATTTGTTTTGTTTGTGATGATTTGAACTGAATTTATCCGTCGGTAACCTCTGTTTGGTTGCTGGAAAAACGGAGGAAAATCAGCTGAGAAAAAAATTTCAAATCCTGTTTCATTTTGCATTGTTTTGCTGATAAAACCAAAGAGTTGTTTTAGGCCAATCTGAATGGTGAAATTTGTTTTTGGATTTGAGATTTTATTTCATTTTTCTTTTCTTAGCTTCCTATCAGCAACAAACTGAGTATATCCTTCAAAAGTTGTCGTTGTTGTTTTAGGTTTCTGGCCTTTTTCTTTCTCTCTTTCTCCCCAGTAGGTATTTGTTGGAAGACTCTAGTATTGGAAACTTTGTTTTTGCAACCAACTGGGCATATCTTCAATTTGTTTTTGCTGATAAAACCGATGACTCTGGGCTTGTTTGGTTTGTATACCAAGATACAAATGTTGAGAAAAAATTTTAAAATTTTGTTTGGTTCAAATTTTTTTCAAAAAAAAATTTCAAAACCATTCTCAATCAATTACATTCTCTTTTCTTTCTCATTCTCAATCAATTTTTCTGCCACACACATCTACTCAACTATAACAAAATATAAAATCATCCCAGACTCCCAAGCTCCAAAATTATTTTCAAAATATTACACCAAACAAACCAAAAAAAATTCTAAACTCTCTTCCCAAATTTTTATCTCAAAACACAAACCAAACACACTTTTTTGGAAAATTTTGAAAAGGGAACAGTAAATGATAAGATTGTAATTAAAATTTAACGCTGTTCTGTGCTAGTGACTTCCCTCTGGATAATTCGTGATTAGCAATTACAAATTTCAAAGCTTAGTTTCCTGGTAGTTTATTTATTTATTATTTGGTTGGGTATTCATTGAATCTTTTGGTTTTTTGTTTTTGAAATTGTTCAACTACTTCCAAGCATAATGTTGCTTTCTGTTTTCATTAGGTTTGGTCTTTGGTGAGGAGATTTGATCAACCGCAGAAGTACAAGCCATTCATCAGCAGGTGCGTTGTGCAGGGAAGCCTTGAAATCGGAAGTCTTAGAGAAGTTGATGTTAAATCAGGGCTCCCTGCCACTACCAGCACCGAAAGATTGGAACTTCTTGATGATGAAGAGCATATCCTTAGATTCAGGATTGTTGGTGGTGATCACAGACTCAGGGTATGAGAAGTTAAAAAATATTTCTTTTCAATTTTAGCAATTGTTGCTTACATTTTGTATTTTGGTTTTTTCATGCTAAACACATATTTACAAATTTGAATTTTTGTCAACAAATATTCAGTTTTATCAAACTGCTTGCAAAATAATGAGTGTGCTTAAGATGCAAGTAATATGCAATATCTGGACGTTGTTCTTCGTAGTAGACAAAAATTGATATGTAGTTGTGCCAAAGATAAGTTTAGGTTGTAACAAGTGTTTGATGTTTACAATTGTATTGGTGCCATTCCCATTCTAACAGAGTGCACAACGTGATCTATCATTTACGTTTCTGGATGGAATGATAGCTTCACATGATATTGAATTGAATGCCTTAATTTGTGAATCATCGTAACTGAGCAGTTCCTTAATCTCATGTAGTACCACCATTGTTAATTTTGCTTTGAATTGATGATATATGAATTTGGACCATATTGTTCGTCTGAATCTTGCTAATTTTTTAATTCTGCTTCCTTAGTGGAGTTCCTCCATTCATCTTAATATTGAGACTCAGTGCAGTCTACTCATGATTGTGTTCCTTAATGTAGGGAACACAAGGTGTGCTTCCTATTTATGTTGTACCTTGATCATTAGTTTTTGACTCAAATGTTTGTACTGTCGCATTTTGTTAGATGGCTAAGATTCTTCTGGTAGGTAGAAAAAATCATCTAATATTTCCTTTGGTGGACTAGTTTCGTTAAACTCTGAACACTGGCACCGACACTAATATTTTCTATTACAGAGCTTGGTAGGGTGGATTGGACTGAGTTCCCTTTTTACTAGAAATACAAGTGCTGCTACTATAGTTTGCCCCTGTTTATTTTTCTTTTCTTTTATTTTCCAGAACTACTCCTCAATCATTTCCGTCCATCCAGAAGTCATTGATGGAAGACCAGGGACTCTGGTAATAGAATCCTTTGTAGTAGACGTGCCCGAGGGAAACACCAAGGATGAAACCTGCTATTTTGTACAAGCCTTGATCAAGTGCAATCTCAAATCACTGGCTGATGTCTCAGAGCAGTTAGCAGTGCAGGACAGGACTGAGCCCATTGATCGCATGTAGATGTGGGGCTGCTGGGGATCTGTGGCAGAGGCTATGAATACACCATGGATGAAGCTTCTCCTTGACTTTTTGATGCCTAGAGGCTGTGGAGGCAGACGGGTAGTAGCTGTTCTCCCCATTCCAGATACACATTCGTGCTCTTTTTTTTTTTCCTTTTGTTTGCTATGTTTAATGTCTGGGTTTTACAATTACTCTAGACTTGCTGTTAATTAGTTGCATAAGGTAGAACCACAGCTTTATAAAGCTTTCTAACCCCACCATGAATGAAAGGTGAAAATGAAAGAAGCCCTAGGTTGTCTTTCTATCTGATAGTTTGGGTTTTGGCCGTGGTGGTTTATCATGCTTTATAGGTGTAAATATACCATATTGCAGAAAGAGTTGGTGTTTGTAAATTTTTTTTTTTTTTTTTTTGATGTTGTCGTTTTAGCTTCTGTTGCTATTGATGTATGTGGGGGGAAAAGTAAACCTATAAGGTAGCTGTGAGTCATTATAGAGAAGAAAAGCTTGTAATATTTTTTGCACTGCTAGAAATTGCTAGAACTTGTCTGTGAATTCACTTGCTTCAAATGCTATTGGATACTTTATGGACTACATCTCATGTCAAATGTGATAGTCTTCTTTACGTGTACTATATGCACAAAGGGATTTGTAGGTGTAGATTGTCTTATCTTCCATGTTCTTCTCTTGTCGTGGCTGACAATGTTTGTGTCGTTGGATTGATTTATATTCTCCGAAAGTATTCATTGTGTTTGGTTTGAATTTTCTGAATTAAGTTTTTTGAAAATTGAGTTTTTTGATTTTCGTGTTTTTTTTTGTTTTTAGTAAATATTTTAAACATTTTTTTTACTTTTTTAGATGCACCTTACTTAGTTTTTTTTTTTTTTTTTGATGTTGTCGTTTTAGCTTCTGTTGCTATTGATGTATGTGGGGGGAAAAGTAAACCTATAAGGTAGCTGTGAGTCATTATAGAGAAGAAAAGCTTGTAATATTTTTTGCACTGCTAGAAATTGCTAGAACTTGTCTGTGAATTCACTTGCTTCAAATGCTATTGGATACTTTATGGACTACATCTCATATCAAATGTGATAGTCTTCTTTACGTGTACTATATGCACAAAGGGATTTGTAGGTGTAGATTGTCTTATCTTCCATGTTCTTCTCTTGTCGTGGCTGACAATGTTTGTGTCGTTGGATTGATTTGTATGCTCCGAAAGTATTCAGTGTGTTTGGTTTGAATTTTCTGAATTAAGTTTTTTGAAAATTGAGTTTTTTGATTTTCGTGTTTTTTTTGTTTTTAGTAAATATTTTAAACATTTTTTTTCATTTTTTTAGATGCACCTTACTTAGATGTATCTAAAAAGTAAAAAAATTGTGAAAAAATATTTTAAAACATTAATAAATACATAAAAATACAAAAAATGTACTAAATTCTTGTATTTTTTTTTTTGTATTTTGGGTATTTAGTGAATTTTTAGAAGATTTTTTTTATAATTTTTTTACTTTTTAGGTGTATTTATGTTAGGTGTGTCTAAAAAGTAAAAAAATTGCCTAAAATATTTAAAAAAACTCAGTAAAAACAAAAAAATACGGAAAATAAGAAAGTAAAATTTTCTGAAAAGTGTTTTTTAAAAAATGGAAACAAGCAAGCTCTGGTATTTCGAAAAATATGTTGTATCTGTATCGGTTTCATATGATACTTTTGTATACGTATCAGGTCACACGTACCTAAGTTTTTTCTTTTTAATTTTGGCATGTCCAGACGTACCTATTATATACTCAAGTTGTACTGTACTTCAGTTAAAATAATATTTTCTTCTACTACAGAGATAAAATTCATTTCACTAGATTTCTTTTTTATTTTTTGTTTTATACTTAGTATGATTTTAAAATTAAATTATGATTTGTAACTTATTCAATATATTGACATTTAATTTTGATTTATACCTTTATTTTTGGCATTAAATATTAATTGTAGGTTGGACCTTAACAAATTAAACAATTTAATTAATTTTTACATTACTCTAAATTAAAAATAAATATTTTTTTTACAAACGTACCAAGCTGTACTAGTGTCTTTTTTTCTTACCGTATCAACATACCTGTATCGTACCAGTACTAGTACTCGTACTTGTATTTGTGCTTCATAGTTTATATACGAGACTATTAGTTTGGAGAATTTGGTATTACCAATCCCTTAAGATTTTGTATTCTATTTCATGTTTGAAATGTCATCAGATTTGGAGGGAATTAGTAGAATTTTATCATATTTCATGGTTGTTTAGAATTATTAGACATGAATTATGTAGTGTAATGACTATAATGATCAAATATAAAGGTATTTTTGTCTCTTAACTCCTTAATTTAGACTTTTCTTAGAGTAATTCCATTTACACACAATCATTATTCTCGGTACATATCATTGTCCAATTTTTTTAATTTCCATTGTCCTTGATTGAAATTACCATTTTGGACAAAAACCCTAAAATCAAATCCACCAGTAGACCTCCCCTCCGGTGACACCATCAATTAGCCACCGTCGGAGCCTTTCCAACCCATTGCACCAACTCCTTCTCTAGCAACTCTCAATCTACTCTTTGTTGCATCTCTCTTTCTCTTTCTCTCTCTCCCTCTCTTCTTCCAGCCTTTATCTTTTACGCCTCCCTTTTCTGCCGTCGCCATTGCAACTTGTATCTTCGTCTGAGATTTGAAAACCCTAGGTTTTTTTCTCTCTCTCTCTCTCTCCTTCAATCTTTTCATGTAGTGGACAAAAATTGGGTTACGATGGAAGGGGTGGGGAGACGAATTGTGATGGTGATGAAGAAGTGCATTGCTCGCAATGGTGGAGTTGCTATTGTTTTGGTGGTTGGGGATGGCGGTTGTAGTTAGGGATCAAGAGACGGAGGTTAGCGATGGTGAGAAGGATGATGGCGACGAATAACGGGGTTGGGAGAAAGGGCAACGGCAAAAAGCAATAATGGTGATATAGATTTGTCACAAGGAAATGAGACTTAAGGGGGTTATCGGAAGTGATGAGCGAAGAAGGGGTGGCGGTCGGCATTTGGTGGTGTTAGAAAGGTATGCGGCTGGAGAGGGAGTAGTGGTCAACGATGATTGTTAGGGTTAGTATTAGGTTAGAGTTTGGGATAGAGAGTTGAAGAAGATGAGGATAATATAGGATTTTTGAAAATTGATGGTGTGAAGTGAGAAGAAATCAAAAAATTTAAAATATGTGGTGTGTATTGAGAAAATGGTGTGTACTAAAAGATTTGGTAGTGTGTAAATTGTTGGTTTTTTGGCTTTCGAAGGTTATTATTGTAATTTTCAACGTGCCAGCAATGATCAATCAATCCTTACAGAATATTAATTGCCAACCAATCATCAGACGATTGTGTTTTAGTTCTTTCAGCCTCAATGAAGAGGACTTTTACTGGTGGCTTTGTTTAGGAGGATTAAGCAAACAATGATTAAATGAAGAATAATTGTAGCATTTCATTAAGTAAAATGGAAGACTTATAAAGATCTGAATCAGCCTCGGAGAGGTTTATAGCGACAAACTACTTGAAACTATTCCTTTGAACGAAGTGGAGTGCGGGAATTTGAAGTACAGGAATGTAAAGAACAATAAATATAAAAACTGGAAAGAAAATAAAGTAGATAAAAGTGGTTTTTTAGATCTGAGTCTAGGGCTCTTTCTGGGACCCTCTCTGCTATTTATACTTCTCAATGATAATCGTCGAATTGAGCTTCTAACCGTCAAATCATCCCTCCATGACTGTTGATCATGTTTCCTTACAGTTAGCTCCACTACGTCATGTCTGCAGTTGGGCTTCCCTCCTGATTTTTGAATATAAATATGAGTAACCGTTAAAGTCACGTCATCTTGCACCTCTCTGTTGATTCCATGCTATGTAGATTCACAATAACCAATACTAACTGCCACGTATGTGATTATGATTGAAGATTTGAATTGTCTTCCCGTATTACCCTTATCCTGCCACGCGTTAAACTGTGATTGGGTTATACAAAATATGTAGCCAACATTACCCCCTGCACTAATATACCCAATTCTTGGTGATATTAGTGGATCAAGGTATTTTACCCACATCTTAGAACGTGCATGGGCTTTGCGCTTTTCAGAAATGCAACCGACATTCATTAATGAAACACTTGCATTGAATTCTCTTTTATCCTTTGATCATCCCTACTATCTCAGTATTTGAAAAGACTAATACATCTTTCATGGCCAAACAAGACTTTTCTTACATTGATCAAGCATACGAAGAGTTATTTGATGATGCTGTTCATCCTCGAAAGAACCTTCATGCATTGATTAGCCACCTTTATCCGCCTCCATTTATATAAGTTATGGAAGCTTTCGCAAATCATTGACCTTCGAACCAAGAACCTACTGCTTACGATTCTTTGGAATACAAATTTGAGGCCATGGATATCGGAAGCTTTTCTTCTGGAACAAAGCCATCCGTGTGAGACGAAGCTGTTGCTGCTTCTTCTTCTTCTACGACCTCTGGCTGGGGAACTTGGCCTACTCTTACTTAACCTTAGACGAGGGAACGCATTCATCATCGTTTCCCTGAATTCGATGACCCTCTTGAAATCCCCCCTTCCAAATGCAGTTCTGTAGTATATCCATATGTTCCTATTAACCATAGACGCAGTCTTGAAGACAATCTGCTTACAGCGTGGTATACTTCTACCTTGCCATCTCGGATGGTTCAAAACGTCCAACATCCTGATGAAGCTCTAGGGATCAGTCCTACGCTTTTAGCCAAAAAAGCAAAACTTTACCCCTCTAATTGGCTAGAATGTGTGACCAGACCTGAATTTCTGGATTCGCCCAGGGAACCCCCGACTACTCCTCATCTGCCTTCTAATCTAAATTGGATTGATGAGTTGAGGCTCACTCTCTCTGAGGGCCGATCCTTCCCCCCTTACTGGGTCCTGGCGCCTCCAACTCCTTATCAGCAATTCAGGGCTCAGATCTTGCTTGCTGCATTTTCTCATTTATCCTTTGAAGTCCTTCGAAATTACATTCCCTACAAAAACTTTCTATGGGCTTATGACATTATGTCTCGAAGTCATCTTCTTAACCCTGTGGCCCAAATGGAGCTTTATACCTTTTTAGACCAACTTCCTCTCCTGCTCAACTGGCACTTCCATTACTAGTGAAGTTCTGGATGAAGCCATTTCCGCTCGAATCCAAGTTCAGTATGAGGCGGAGAACCTCCTTGATGAATATGCAGCATTCAAGAGCCAAGATTCTGAGTATAGGGAGGATGTTGCTATGAACGAAGTGCATGAAGAAGAAAAGATGGATGCCACAGATAAAACTCTAAAACAGATAGAATTCGAAGTGAATGCCCAACAACTCTCTTCTCAATTGAGGGCTTACCAATTAGATAAACCAAATCTAGACAATATAGAGGATAGAGTAGGAAAATAATATTCATTTATTGAATTTTGTTAGACTAAATTCCATGACCTTGTAACTTTCTCCATTCCATATTTCTACGAAATCGATAATGTAATAAAATGAATCCCAGTATAAACAGCACTTATCAATACAACTGGGCTTTTCGAATTTCATTTATCAAATTCTGATTTACCACTCCAATTGTAAACTACATGGTTGATGTGCTTTGACTCCATCCCAACTCAAACTCTTCCAAAGTGTGAAATCTCCTCTTTTGAAAAAACAATTATTGCCTTATATATCGATTCTAGGACTAACATAATTCTTCAGCTAACAACTTCAAATTAACCAACTCTGCCCTTCGAAACTTGATTGGATCATATTTAATTCCCCAACATATGGTATATGGTTAATACGATTAAGTAATTTCAAATCACCTAAAAAAAAAAATTCTTTGTTTTAAATAAACAGTCTATATTTTTCAAAATATGGAAATCTCTTTTAAAGACTGCACTGTTTTATTCTAAACAAGTGATTTCTTCTGTATATTATCAAACCAACTATTAGTTTGAAACTTAGAATAAACAATTTCTAACCTTAAGGTATTTCAAGTTTTTGCTTCGAAGGATTTTACTCTCACTAAGAAACCTAAACATGTTTTTAATCCTTTTGAAGTAAACAAATACTTGAGCATTCTTACATCCTTAAGTGTGGAATGTGTTTCAAAGTCGACTTCCTGCCTTCGAAGCCGTTTGTTATTTAACTTTGGCGCCAAAATTTGGCTTCGAAGCCAAATATTTCATTTCGAAGCTGACATCAGTATTTGAAATGCGTTTCTCTCCATAACTATCAATGTTGAAGGAAACTTTTCACATCTGTACCTTTAGCACTTCTTTATGAATCCCACGATTGGGGTATTTTTAGACACAAAGGTTTAAAACCCTTTTTATTTCGTGCTTTGAATTCACTCGTTTGCCTAACACACAAATCCTTTATCTTCTGTTGGCTTTCTTTTTCCTTTTACTTTCTTTCCCAACTTTGTCTTCTGAAAAAACCCTCTATCAATGGCTTCTTCTTCCTTGAATGTACCGGATGTGGAGCGTGCGAGTCCATCTGTAGCCTTGAAAAGGATCACTAATGAAGAGTGTGAGAAGTATAAGGCTAGTGGGAAAAGTGCCATTGACGGACGCATCTTTATTCCTCGTCATCATGACCAGCAAGAATATGTGCTTGGGCCCATCTTTAAGGAGATTCCTACTGAGCTTCTAGCTCTGTATCCATGTCTAGAAGACCATTGTCTTCTTTACGAAGGTGGTCTTAACTGGGGAAGTTGGAGGATGAACCGCCCCCATCGCTGTTAGCCCACAGTGAGACCAGAGTGAGAGGAATGGTATGATCGGGTCGTCCCTAATAGGACTCTGGATCTTCAGGAGCTTTACCTCTTCGACGCCCTCCAATTATCTAGGTTCACCATTTCAGAAGACCATTTTTTAATACCTGCTGCCCTTTGCTTTTGGAATTCTGCTTTTAATTTCTTTTAATTCAGATGTGGTATGATGGCCCTTACTGTTCTTGACATCTGCCATCTATTAGGATTGTCCTCTACTAGTACCCCTATTGGTCCAGACTATCCTGACCTCAAAACCCCTTTTTCTCTCCCCTCTCTGAACTCATCCTATAGTGACTTTGTCAAGGCTGAGAATAAAAGAGAGGGCTCTGTGACTGATAGGGAATTCTTTTCTTTTATATTATATTGGCTTTGCAAGTTCCTCTTCTGCACCTCTTCTCAGAGGATCATGCCTAAATTTGCCTCTCTTGCCAAAGCCCTTGTTTTACAAAGAAAGGTGGCCTTAGCTCCATACGTTCTAGGTCATGTTTATAGAGCTCGTTCCCTTTTTTATGAAAGACCTTCGGATACCAATCAGGGAGGCCCATTTTGGATACTTCAACTTTGGCTTTTTGCATATTTTACTGAGTTACAATCTAAATGCCTAAAGTTTTTGGATACAAACCCTACCACTCATGGCATGAAATTAGCCAATGTTTCACTCTATTCTTCTAACTTTGCTTTTTATTTTTCTTTCTTCCACCAACTCCCAGCTTCCCTTTCTTCTCACAGCTTCCGTCCTTTCGAACCTATCAATATTGGCCCATCCTAGTTGAGGACCTTTTTGAGTGATAGGTCTTGTTCTACACCCCAGCACAAAAACATGTGGGTTTCTATTTTGATTCCTAGAGAATTATTCATTGGGACTATGAACCCCAGAGCCTACTAATGCATTGCTGAGCCTTATTGTTCCACTCAATTTGCTAGGCAATTTGGATTCTCACAAGGGGTCCCAATACCTCTCTGCAGCCAGACCAATTTAAGCCTTACCAGCAGGGATCTGAAAGTTCGAAAATCTAGATTAGAAGAAGCAACTTCCAAATTCATCTAGGATTTTATTAACTTTGAGTACTTCCCCTTCATACCTCAAAGCAACATATTGAAAAGGTGCCAGAACTGGTGGATGGCCAATATGAAGGTACACTTTGCCATTCCTCCTCAAGATCTGTTAATGGTACTGGATGTACCTCAAACCAAGTCAAAAGGAGCTGGAGCTGTTACTTCTTCCACTGCTCCTGTTACTTCAGTTCGTGCACCTGTCCTCACAAAGTCTGTTCCTGTTGACTCAACTCCTTCTAGAGTTACTCGAGCTGTCACAAAGAAAAGTATGTATCTCTGTTTCTTTTTTCCTTCTCTTTTATGGTGCTCTTGTCCTTATTTATAATTCTTTCTTTGGTGTAGGTGGTGCGGGTGCCTCTCAGGGAGATTCTTCCCAAAAGGTTCAAGCTTTAAATCTTCTGAAAAGGAAACAGCAACAACAGAAGAAGAGAAAGCTCTTATTTGACCTTGAAGAAGAAATACCTGAGGTTCGTATAGGAGAAACGGAAGCAGAACAAGAAGAGACAGAAAAAGAGCAAGAGACACCCTTGAAGAGAAAGAAGAAAATGACTGTTTCTCTGTCTGATTTCACTAGAGATCCCATTCACGAAGCATCTGCTAAAGCAGTGGAAGTAGAGCATTCCAAAGAGCTTATTGTATTTCAAAGGGCTGAGAAGAGGAGGCAACAGCAAATGCTTAGAGATGAAGTTGCTGCCGCTGATGCACTCCAAAGAGAAGTTGCAAGACAACAAAAAAACTGCTGGACATTATACTCTTCCCAGCTCTCCGATCATAGCCACTACTTCTTAAACCAGTAATTTCCTTCGTGCCTCTATTCTCCTTTCTTAAATTTTTGATACTGAAACTTAATACTACTTTGTATTTCTTCTTTTGCAGCAACAACTCCTTCGCCTTCTCCTTCGATAAGGATTCCTTCAGTTTCAACTGAAGTTGAACAACCTTAAAATGTGGAGCCAATTCAAACAATACTTCCACTTCCTGGCCCTATATTTTCCATACCTTTCTTGAGGTCAAGCATTCCTGTATCCCTATCCTTGGGCTTGACTCTATACTTTCCTTATTTATCTTTCAACTCTGTTCAATTTGCTCTTCATTTAAGCCTTACTGCTCCTTTCCTTCCTGAGGAAATTCCAGCTATTACATCATCTCCAATGATAGCTGATTTCCATAGAGAAGACACTGGTAGCTCTCCAATTCCTTATCCATTTTCTTTGCCTAACTCCAGTCCCTCTTCTCTTGACCTACTGGTAGCCAAAACTATAGAGACTGCTAGGGATACTTCACCTTCTTCTCCTATTCCTATGCAGCCATTTCTTCCTTCTACCAGAGCTCTTTCTGCACCTTCCATGTCCATGGATGAGGTGACATCTTTGAAGCTAGGCTAGCTAGTCTCTTTGACGTACCTTCTACCTCTCCAACAATTAGCCATGAAACTGAGCCATTAGTCCTAGCTGATTCTCTACTAGAAATTTTTGAGAGCTCTTCCTCCAGTGGTAGGACTTCCTTGCCTTCAGTAGACTTGGACAACTGTCTGGAGCTACTAACATCCTTCTCGAGGATCCCTTTCGAAGCTTTACAAAGGCCTATAGTCAAAAATGGATTCTTCTAGTACTGCAAGATTGTTGAGCAATCCGGCATGATTGTTTCAAGTCATTTATCTCAAGTGGCAGCCACCATTGATTTTTACATCAACATTTGCCATGTTGCCAAGGCTGCAGAGGAGAAATTGCTAGAAGACTAGAGTTTTGTTTCCAAAATACATGCTAAAGTGTCAGAACTGAAGGAACAACATTCCTCTGTCTCCCAATTTCGAGCTCAACTATTGGAGAAGAAAGCTCAGCTTGAAGAGGAGTTATCAGCAGTCAACCAAGCTTTAGATCAAACTGCCACCAAGTTGTAGATCACTAATCAAGGACTGGCTGATCGAAAGCAGGAGATGGCTACAGCCATTCAGTTGTTCCCATCTTTTAAGAGTAGAGCATCTATTGTAAAGGAACAACTGAAACATTGTACTGACTTTTTGGGCAATCTATGGCTACATGTATTCAACTCATTATGAAATAAAATCCTTATTTATCATTTGAGTGTTTTTATGTTCTTTTCATTTAGCACTTATTTTATTCCTTGTGTTTCCCACACGGTTGGATAATAAGGCTTCAAATATCTGCCATTAATCTTCTTAGGATGTACATATCCACTCAGATTTTTCAAATGATATGCTCCCAAAGGCAAGACTCTATGAACTTGATATGGTCCTTCCCAGTTAGGTAATCATTTGCCAAACTTGTGGCTTTTAATCCCTATTGGGAATATTGTCTTCCATACCAAATCACCTTCATCAAAGCTAATGTACTTGACTTTCTTATTATAGTTTTTGGCTGCTTTTTTCTTTTGGAAAAGAATGCTATTTAATGCTAGAATTCTAGTTTCATCTAAATTTTTTAATTCTAAGCACATACACTGATGGTACTGTTTAAGATTTAACTGATCTTGGCATCTCACCCTCAAGGACTTAATATTAATTTTCACAGGTAACACTGCATCGTGCCCATATACTAAAGCATAAGAAGTGATTCATGTACTTGACCTTGGAGAAGTCCTATAAGCCCATAATACATCCAACAGCAAGTTATGCCAATCCCTGGGATTGTCTTCCACAACTTTCTATATTCCTTTCTTCAAAGACTTATTGGATAATTCAGCATGAAAATTGGTTGTGCATAATAGGGGGCAGAATTAACAAGGCTAATTTCAAACTCTGCCACAAAAGACCTTACCATTTTTTTATCAAATACAGTCCCATTATCAACAGTTATAGTCTGTGGGATGCCAAATCTGTGGATCAGATCTTTAATGAATCCAATAACTTTGATCTGGTCTACAACCTCATATGGCTCAGCTTTAACCCACTTAGTGAAATAATCTGTGGCCACTAAGATGAAACAATGATACTTCGAAGAGGGTGGGTGTATTTTTCCTATCATATCCATAGCCCATCCTCTAAATGGCCAAGGCTTCACAACTGCATGCAGATCAATTATGGGTACATGCCTTATTGTGCCATGCTTTTGGCATGCCTGGCAATCTCTAGCATATTCTATGCAATCCTTTAGGATGGTTGGCTAATAGTAGGAATGTCTTCGAAGTAGACATCTCATATTCACACCAGGTTTATGAGCACCACAGATGCCTTCATGAACCTCAGCCATGGCTGTCAATGTTTCCTTTGGACCTAAACATTCCAATAATAACTCATCTGCCCCCGTTTTGTAGAGAGCATTACCATACATTATATATTGCATGGATTGCAATTTGATTTTTCTGCTGGCTTTCGAAGATGGGCCAGCTAGATACTGCATTATTGGATGCCTCCAATCCTATTCTTGTAAGTCATTATGATTGGCCTCTAAGACCATATTCCTTCTATTCAAAGGTGGTATTACCTTTTGATATGTTGTTTGGCTTATGTTCCTTTGAGTGTTATCCGTTCTCTTGAAATTCGAAACTTTTTGAGCCACATCATTAGCTTTATTATTCAAGAATCTTGAGACATAAGTTACATTTATTATCTGAAACTGAGAAAGCAAATGTAATACAACAACATAGTATGGCAACATGCTTACACTTTGACATTTGAAAATCCCTTTTACCTGATTAACCACCAATTGAGAATCTTCAAATATATCAACTGCATGAGCTTGTAATCCAATATGTATTTCGAGTCCCACTATTAAATCTTCATATTCAACTTGATTATTGGAACAAGTAATTTCATCTACTCTAAAAGCATGTGTGGTTTCTAGCCCTAGTGGTGACTTAATCACCACACCAATTCTAATTAGACCATTGGCTTTTGATCTATCGAACCACATTTGCCATGGTTTAACACTAACCATACCAAGTTCCATTATCTCTTGGTTTTTTGTTTGACATGGATGGTCTGCCAAAAAGTTAGCTAAAACTTGTCCTTTTACTGCCTTTTAGGGGACATATTTTAGATGAAATTCTGATAAAGCTAGTATCTATTTGCTAATTCTTCCTCTCAACATAGGTTTAGATAACATATATTTAACCAAATCTGTGGTTGCAATTACTAAGATAGTTGTAGGCAAAAAATAGTATCTTAATTTCATTGAAGCAAAATACAATACAAGGCATATCTTTTCAACAGCTGAATATTTACATTCACAAGAATTTAGAAACCTACTAAGGTAATAAACTGCTTGCTCTTTTCCTTCTTCATTGTCTTAGGCTAGAAAAACTCACAGTGAATCTTCTGCTGCAGCTATATATAACTTCAAGGGCTTATCACCCTTTGGTGGCATCAGCACGGGAGGGTTGGCCAAGTAGGCTTTGATTCCTTCGAAAGCAGTTTGATGCTCTGCTGTCCACACAAACTCCTCTTCATCTTTCAGCCTTAATAAGGAAGAAAATACTTTAGTTTTCCCTGCAGTATTAGAAATGAATCTTCGAAAAAAATTAACCTGTCCAACGAATTTTTGTAATTCGTTCTTACTTGATGGAGGTCTGGCTTCAATGATAGCTTTGGCTTTATTCTGATCAATCTGTATTCCCTTATTGTGTACTACATAGCCCAAGAAGTTTCCAGTTGATACGCCAAAAGCACATTTGAGAGGATTAAGTTTCAACTTGAACTTTCTCATTCTTTCAAAAGCTGCTTCCAAGTAAAACAAATGTTCCTCCATGGATTGAGATTTTAGTACAACATCATCAATGTAACACTCTAAATATCTTCTAATGAGATCATGAAAGATAGTGTTCATAGCCCTTTGATATGTAGCCCCAGCATTCCTCAGACCAAATGGCATTTTAACCCATTCGAAGGTGCCAATGTTCCCAATACATCTGAATGCTGTCTTGTGGATATCCTCTTCTATAATGCAGATTTGGTTATAACCAGAGTGCCTATCCATCATTGATAAAATCTTGTGTCCTGCTGGCTGAACTATCCACCAATAAATCTACTGTGGGCATGGGGTACTCATCTTTTGGAGTTGCTAAATTCAGGTTTCTGAAATCGATGCATACTCTCATTTTACTATTCTTCTTAACTACAGGCACAATATTGGATAGCCATTCAACATACCTGGCTGTCCTAATAAAGCATGCCTTGAGGAGCCTGAGAATTTCCTCCTTGACCTTCTGAATCACTTCAAGACACATCCTTCTTGGTTTTTGCTTGTATGGCTTGAAATTAGGCCTCATAGGGAGCCGATGTTCTACTAATGACCTATCCAATCCTAGTAGTTTATTATAAGACCATGCAAAACAATCTTTATATCTCTTCAAGACCACCAACAACTGGTCCCTGTCAAGAGCATTTAACCAAACACTGATGTAGGTGGGCTACTGTATGGAACCTTTCCTTAAGTTCACTTCTTCCAAAGGGTCTTGCATCTGGGAACTCACTGATGCTTCTTTTTTGATTTCTTTTGTCTTCGAAGCAAACTTCTTGCTTTGTCCTGCTCATAGTTTCTTTGATTCAACATATTTGCCCTCCTCCTCATAGACAAAGTCTGTCCATAAGGCTTCTTCTTCCTGTATTTCCTAGACTTTTGTTTCAATGTCCAATGCGCAGTATTTATCCAAGGCCAGAAACTTAACCTGTTGTTGCTCTTGCTTACAGCTAATTATTATGGCTTCTTTCTTTTGCTCTTGCATCTTTTGGATTATTGATTTTACGTCCAATACTGAGAACTTAATCAAAGCCAAAGATCTGGCCTCCTGGGTTCTATTTTTTTGTCTACAACCAAGCATCATTGTCATCCTTGGCGACAAACTCCTCATCAACACTCTCCTGGACTAAGTGCTTTAGGTGTGCTAATTCCTCATCAACCGTCACTTCGACTGATCCATCAGGCTTTCTTAGTATACTGAGTGGTGTCACTCCTTCAGTATATAATTTGACTTCTGTAAAATCTGCACAAGCAATGAAGGGTTGAGGGTCTGCATTGATCTCCTCTGTCTCTCCATTGCACAAGGCCATCATGATCTTCTGATGTAAAGAGGAAGGCACACATTTGTTGGTATGAATCCAATCCCTTCCAAGTAGAGCATTATACTTAACATTGTTGTCGATAACGAAGAATGCCGTCATGCAGTCTCTGGTTCCCACACTCAGGTTAATGGGCAAAATGCCTTGAGCCATCTGTTTGTCTCCAGCAAAACCAGCAATGGTTGTACTGGTTGGGATTAGTCTGGGGTTCCTTTTCCCTAGTTTCTTTAAAGAAGATTGCGGAAGCAGGTTTACTGCTGCCCCGTTATCCACCAATACCCGGTTCATCTGTATCCCATCAAAGAAGGCCTTGATATACAAGGGTTTGACATGCTATGTCATGGATGTCGTGGGATACTCAAAAGGGTATGAGAGGTTAATACTCACCTCTTCCTCACTCTCATCTCCAGTTTCCATTGATATGGCCACTTCGGATTCATCTTGCACCATACTCACTTGTGAGTCTTCACTAGAAATTGGAATCGGGTCAATTTCCTGACCTTCTTGGTTTTCATCTTCAGCTTGGAATTCCTGTGGTAGTATATGTACCATATTCACTGATGCTAGAGGAAACGAGCCAAATTAGATGACTGGCTGTACCTATTTCTCTTCTTGGCCAACTTGTTCAATCACTTCAGAAGCATCTTCCATGCTGCATTCTGGCACTTCAGTACCAGTAACTTTCTTCGAATGGTCTGTTTCTACTGGTTTTTCGACCAAAAATGTCTGTTCAGCCATGAAGACTTCAAACATTTCTTCCTCAACCATTTCTTTCTTTTGGCCTAGGCCAACTTCTCCCTCTGTCTCATTATTACTTTCTATCAAAGCTTTTTTCAATCCTGCCAAACTGGATCTTTCTTTGGCTTTCAGTCCGGAATGAACTTTGGCCAATTGTTCTCTGCTGCAACTCCTTTGTCTTGAGGAGTCGATTTTGGATTATGATCTAACTTTGAACTTTTTTCTCCATCTGCCTGGCCCTTTGGCTGGACCAATGAAGAACTTTCTCCGCTTTCTTTCAGATCCTTCT